AGAGAGATTAAGACAGGAGTCGAAATTCTGATCTTATAAGTAATATTACTTCTTACGATTGTTTGCAAACAGTGGAGCGTCGATTTCATGTGAGAGTTAATAGGAAACGAAAAAGTGTTCTGAAAAATAACAGAAATTGACATGCATGCTGCCTAAGCTAGTATGAAAAGCAGGAGAATCAGAATATCTCGTAATTAGCTTCCATCAGGAATAAAAAAGGAGATAGTCACAAGTGATCCCAAAGAGATAGCAAGTATACATTTATGAGTATCAATTTATGAGTCTTATCTTTTGCACACAAACTAGAAAAGTGGAGGAAATGGACAAAATTTCTAGAAACACACAGCCTCCCTAGGCTCAACCAGAGAAGAAATAGATTTCCCTGAACGCAATCTCAAGAAGCTGAAATAGAAACAGCAATTAAAAATCTCTAAAAAGAAAGGCCCCAATCCAGATGGTTTCACATCCGAATTTTACCACACTTAAAGAGAAGAACTAGTACCTATCTTGCAGAAACTATTCAACAACTGAGAAGCATGGAAACTCCGCACCTTTTAATGAGCGAATATTACTCTGATACCAAAACCAGGAAAGGATGCAAAAAAGAAACTACACGACCCAATATCCCTATGATTATACGATGCAAAAAAAATTTTTTTCAACGCTAATCCTACCTAACTGAATCCAGACACTTATCAATTCCAAATATTATCAAGACCAAGTGGGCTTCATCCCAGGGATGCAGGAATGGTTCCAACTTAGTAAATCTATAATGGGAATTACACATGACAGAAGAAAAACAAAGGTGAATGATTCTTCATAGATGCAGAAAAGCTTTTCTTGCAAACCTCATGCGTTTGTTCGAGAGAATCAAATTCATAACACTTAATAATGATAATAGCATAGAAGAACATACCTTAGAAAATGATACGTCTAAGCGATAATTATGAAGATTGCGTATGATCATCTCAACATCATACTGCGAAGTCTTGGAAAAATGTTGTAAGTAGTCGCACTGTTAGAACTGGAAACGCAAACAATAGTATCCACTTATCATCCACTTGCATGTCTATTCAACATATAAATTTTCCTCGCGATACGTAGCTCGAATCTCTTGGCTACAGCAATCAGAGCACAGGAATGAGTAAATTTGTATAAGGTATGCCAATAGGAGCAGAAGAGACATACAATATCTATCTGTTTATATAGACTTGATCATTATGTGATATTATATTGTCTCCTTCGAAATCCCCAAGAAGATTTCAACAAGAAACTCCTGGAACATGACAATATATTTAGTAAGTCTCAGGATACAAATCAATACACAGAAATCAGAGGGCCAATTCATATATGACATACAACAATCAATTAGAACCACATATATAGGATCATACTACCTTCACAATAGCAACAAAGAAATTAAAGTACATAGAGTAACTTACCAGGAGGTAAAACTCGTACAGGGAGAACTATGAAACACTGAAGGAAGGAAATGAGCAGGGAGGTAAACAGATGAAAACTCCATTCCACGCCAGTGGATCGGCAATCAACATTATTAATGTCTCACTATCCAATGATCTACAGCATTCAAGCATATGCCTATAAATCACAGCATCTCCACAGATAAGAAAAATATTTACGCTTCATATGGAACCAAAGAAATCGTGAATATGAAGAGCAATTCTAGGCAATAAAAACCAGAAATGGGAGTTATATATCCAGATACTCAAACAATATACAAAGCGATAGTAATAAAAACAATTGGATGCAGCAAAACATAGGAATTTGACAGTAACATGATTTGAGAACTGATATAAAACCATCTCCTATCAGCCATCTAATCTTGACAAAGCAGATTAAAAACATATGCTGGAAAAGAATCCCTTTCAAAAATGGTGCTGGGAAAACTGATAGCTTGGATAGCACCTGTAGAAGACGAAAACAGGACCACACCTTTCACCTCTCACAAAAACCAACTCACGCTGGATAACAGACTTAAACCTAAGGTATGAAACTATTAGAACTCTAGAGGAAAAAGTTGGAAACACTCTCCTAGACATCGGCCTGGGCAAAGAGTTTATGAAGAAGTCCCAAAGGCAATCACAGCAGCAACAAAATAAATAAATGGGACATGATCAAACTCTCAAAGCTCTGCACAGCCAAAGAAATATCATGAAAGTAAACAGACAACCTACAGAATGGGAGAAAATTTTTGCATCCTACGCATCCGATAAGGTTCTGATAACTAGAATATACTTGGAACTCACGAAAATCAGCAAGAAAAAAAACAAATAACCCTATTAAAATGTGGGCAAAGGACTTGAAAAAAATTTTTCTAAAGAAGACAGAAGAATGGCCAACAAACATATGAAAAAATGCTCAGCATCTCTAATCATCAGGGAAATGCAAATCAAAACCACAATGAGATATCACTTAACCCCAGTGAGATTGGCCTTTATCAAAAAGTCTCACACAATAAATGCTGGCTGTTGCGGAGAGAGAGGAACACTCCTACACTGCTGGTGGACTGCAACTAGTTCAACCTCTGTGGAAAGCAATATGGAGATACCTTAAGGAGCATACAAGTGAATCTACCATTTGATCCAGCAATCTCATTGCTGGGCATCTACCCAAAAGATCCAATGACACGCTACAAAAAAGACACTTGCATTCGAATGTTTATAGCAGCACAATTCATAATTGCAAGGCTGTGGAAACAGCCCAAGTGCCCATCAATCCAAGAGTGGATTAATAAAATGTGGTATATGTGTACTATGGATTACTATTCAGCTCTAAGAAACAAGGTGATATAGCACATCTTATATTTTCCTGGTAGAGCTGGAACCCATACTACTAAGTGAAGTATCCCAAGAATGGAAAAACAAGCACCAGATATATTCTCCAGCAAACTGGTATTAACTGAGTAGCACCTAAGTGGACACATAGGTACTACAGTAATAGAGTATTGGGCAGGTGGGAGGAGGTAGGGGGGCGGGTATATACATACATAATGAGTGAGATGTGCCCCATCTGGGGGATGGTCATGCTGGAAACTCAGACTCATCAGGGAAGGGGGGAATGGGCATTTATTGAAACTTTAAAATCTGTACCCCCATAATATGCCGAAAGAAAAAAAAAAAAGAACTCTGTAGCTTCCTGAAATTCTAAACATAAAAAAAAAGGTAAATTAAGAATTGGATTCTAAGAACAATAACTAAGAAATATATCTTAGTTCTTATATTTAAGAAATACATGCCTCTCCCACCTCCCCGAACATCTAATAAATTAATCAGTTAAAATGTAAAATACATAGGTCACCTAAAATTGTTGAAAACTATGCTAATTGCTAGGAATAAAGCAGTTTAAAAGGATTTCCATTTTTCTGGTGTTAATATTTCTTGTGAGAAGGAGAGAAACTAGTCAAATAATTAAAAGGTGATTAACACAATGAAGAATTAGGATAGAGTATTATGATAGTATATAATAGGTTACGATTATATTTAGGGAAGATTTCCCCAGGAAGGTACTCTTTAAGATGAAAGATGACCAAAATTGAGCACAGAGAAATGAAGGAGGAAGAGGTTTTTCTAAGTAGAGGAACAAACAGAATGTGTCAATGTTCTGAGGTGGGGTAGAGAATATCATGTACATGAAAGAACAGAGCTGAGTTAGCACAGAAAAGGGGAGAGTAGGAACATCTTGTAGAAAATCAGGAATTTTGAATGTTATTTTAAGGTAAAATGAATGTGCTTCAGAAAACAGCACTTCAGTTACGGTGTGGAGAATAGATTTGGGGTGGTAATAATGCATGCACAGAGGCCAACAGGAGGAGGTTTTGCTTTCCATAGTGGCTTCATAGAGGTGGTGGGTGATCACTGCTTGTTGTATATTGATTGCCATGGAAATACTGAAAATGAGCCATATTTAAAAATATTTAAATAGTAGAATCATTTTTGTCTGGTGATGTAATGAATGTAGTGTGTTTACAAGGAAAGGAGTGACTTAAAACTGATCCCTTAGATTTCTGACCTGAGTAAGCAAGTGGGTGATAGTGCCACTTACTGAGCTTCAGAAGACTGGAGGATGAATAGAGGGATAAAGACAAGCTTATTTTTAGAAATGTTAAGGTTCAGGTACATTTTGGACATTTCATCGTCACATGGATACATGTATCTAGAGCTCTTAAGAGGTATCTGGCGTGGAATTTTAGTTGAAGCTATGAAAGTAGATTGCCGAGGGGGAGGGTGCAGAGTTTGTAGATCAGGGGCATAGGCCTGACGGCATCTGAGGTTTGGTAGTTGTAAAGAACAGGCAAAATGTGGAAGTACGGATGAGAATGAGTGACCTCAGAGAAAGAAGGGAAAATTACGATATTGCATCAAGAAGTTCCATGAGAAATGTTTTTAGGAAAAGGGACTTGTCAGTCTGTGGAATGCTGCTGAGGGATCAGGAAACATTAAAACTCATAATGTGCTTTGGATTTGTTAGGGAGAGCAGTTCAGGAAGAGTATTTAGGATAAATCCAGAATGGAGTAATTTCAGGAGTAACAGAAGTTCCTTACAACACAGATAATGATTGGCCTTAACGATTTCTTCTCCAGAAAATGATTGGCCTTTCCTCTTCCCTTCCATACATATCATTCCCAAAGTGCCCAAATTGTTCCTTTCTTCCCCATAATGTCTTGGGCTCTTACCATCACAAGTTAATGCGACACCCTTACGGTTACTGCAGTAGCGAGATCTCCATCCACCGCGCGTGCAATTCCAGAGTGCTGTCTCATTCCCGTGGCAGGAAATACCGTGCAGCCAAATGGGGACAAATGTAACTGTGCTAGCAATGGCTTCATAAAAAATGAAAGAAGATGGGCATCCCAGTTGCCTGCACACCACAGCAGCAGCATTCAAGTTCCAACCATTATCACATACAATCTCCCACCTTTCTTGGAATTTCACCTCCACTCTCCCTGAGCAGGAGCTGCTTCCACCCCACAACCTCACATCCATATTGGTTTGGTCTACAAGAAAGACAAAAAGACATGTCAGAAATGGACCTGACTTTGAGTTTGAAATAAAATCAAAAGGATGCTTAGGAGATAGCCATGTTATAAATAAGTTACCAAAAATAATAAGAAATCTGTTGAAAAGACCTAAAGAGAGTGTACATGAGACTTTTTTCCTAAACACAAATACACAGGCAAAAAAAAAAAAAAAGCCTAGAATGAAAAACCAATAATTACCATTACATTCTTTATCGTTTTGCTTTGATTCTATGTCTCATTATTTTCAAAATATTTGTTCTTTCAGTGTACTCAGTACATGAGAAAAGGCACCTAAATCAAAGCTAGTCCCTATTTACAATTTCTTTCTAAACTCAATTATAGATATAAAAAAGAGACTACATTGGTAACTATAGTGTTTCTTTCTCTCTCCCTCTCCTTTTCTCTCCATTCCTCTTCTCCTCCCTCCTTCCCTCCTTCATTTCTTTCTAAACTCTGTTATAGCTATAAAAAAGAAAAATAATTGGACATTACTTTGGAAATGAGGAAAAGTTTAGAATATAAAATATTTTCTCCAACTCTCAGAGAGACAATGTCGAAGTCAGAATAGAAACTTCTGGCTTCCAGCAGATTCCTTTTGAGGGTAGGACTTACCTTCTTACTCTGTTAGACTCTTACCATAACAGGCCACGCCGGCATCCTCTGCGTGACTACAGTCATGCCTTCCCCATTGCTGGTGTTGGCATTCCCAGAGAGCTGACTCATTCCCATAACAGGAAACATCATCAAGCCAAATTTGTCCACGTCCAGGCATGGCTCTTCCAAGACCAAGCGTGGTTTGATAAAACGGACATCCTAGCTGTTTGCACACAACAGTCATGACAGCATCGTTCCAACCATCGTCACACACAGTTCCCCACTCTCCCTGGAATTTCACCTCTACTCTCCCAGAGCAGGGACTGTCTCCACCAGTCAGTCTCAACTCCAGGTCTGTTCCATCTGCAAGAAAGACAGAGACACAAATTAGAGGTGATAATGGTTAGAAGGCAGAAATAATATGAGTAGCTGAGATAGATGATGATAATTTAGCCTAAATGTCATTATTAGAACTTAAAGTGGAGGGAAAAAAAAGCTGAGCAAATTTGAGTTGAAAAGCTTTGACTTTCACCACAGAAAAATAGAAACCACCTTACAACATAGTTTTGTTTTGCATTCTAAAGTGAAAATGAAAAGAGTGGGAAGAAATTTTTCCTTTTGATGAGAGTCTCACCGATATAAACCATAGAAAAGAGAATGTTAGCTTTTTCACAGGTTGGATGACAAGAAAGTCCCTTGGCTGGTTGGTTTCAAAATAATCTATACCTGAGTATTACATTATTACCTCACATTTTTGAAAGGGATATTTTATATATTTTTAACTTAATAATTGAAATCACCATGTAAGGTTAACATAATAATCTTCACATTTATAACCTAATCAATAAAATCTACAGAATTAAATACTTTTGAGTAGTTCTAGCCTCAACTATTTTAAATATATTCTACAAGACTTGCTGGAGGGACCTAGTTGTCCATGATTGTAATATGTTATTCAACCTTCCCTAGTCACAGCTATTTGGACTAGATGTGAACAACCACCTCAGGAAGTCAGTCCTTCACATGGCCATTGACTATTCATATTCCCCTTTTCTACAAATTTGATATAAGAACAATGGACAATAACTTGGATGGTTTTTTCATTGAAGCCATGAGACCAAGTGGAGTTAGCATACACTCTACTTACAAACCAAAATTTTGAGTTGCAGATGCTAAGAATTGAATTGAGAAACAAATGTGAGGGGAGAAGAGTAAAGGAATCTTGTATTTGCATGTAAAACTTTACGATGATGAGTTTTATGCCTATCATCATGGTGAGAAGGTGTGACAGTAGGGCAGGTGAGACAAAGGGAGAAAGAGAAGCAATAAAGAGGATGAAAAAGAAAAAAGAGAAAGGGAGTGGGGAGAGGAAAAGAGAGAATGAGAGAAAGAGAGAGAGACACACAAAGAGAAACAGAGGGAGACAGAATATAATAGGAAAGCCTTCCCACTTCTGAGTTCCAGTCCATAATGGCCCAGATAGAATGTATTTTTCACAAGATGGCACACTACTACCTTGAAAATGAATTGTGAGTTAACCATGAGTCTTCATTCAATCTGGTCTTGACTATACTATAATATATTCCTGGGAATAACTGGAAATTTTGGTTTCTCTATAGTTCTCAGGATTAATGCTGTTTCCTATTTCTTTTTATACATACACTTTAATTTTTAGTTGAAGCTTGTGGGGGCATTCTAATGCCTGTGCTCACATTATACAACTCTTAAATCTAATTAAAGCTCTTAAAATTATACTTGATACACACCCACACGCACATATTCTAATACAGCTGACATTTGCCATTTCTATTTTTCAGTTCATTAATTTAGGAGGTTTTTCTATGTGCACATTGATATTTCTACTGAAACCAAATTTTTATAAAAGCATGATAAATTAATCCCTTTATTCTGATAAAATTTTTTTATCAAGTAAAAATATTAATTTCTAAAATATTACTCTACAATAACAAAATGATAATGGAAAGCATTATTTATAATCATTGTATTGCTGCCCTTTTAATTTTGTGATTTAAATTTTAACTATTGGTATTGACTCCAGGCATGAAAATTTACATTTTCTTACAGTTCCCAATTTTTGCTGATCATGTTATAATTCTACTACTGTCAATTCGTTTAAAATTTATATTCTGTTCTGTAACAATAATCTCCATAAATATTTTAGCCTGATTTAGATGATGAAATTCTGGATTTTGAGCTGATTTTATGAGTTAAGATTTGGTGACCTGCCGTGGGAAGGAACAAGTGTATTCTGTATGTGAGAGAAACATGAACCATTGGGAGCCAAATGGTAGGTTGTAGGAGACGGTCCTTAATATGGTCCCTAGTAATTCCTGCTTCCTAGTATTTATGCACTTGTGCATGATGATGCACTAATTATTAAAATAATGCAGAAGGAGGGAAAAACATGCACCACATGTACTCGCCATCAAATTGGTACTAACTGGTAAACACTAAGGTGTTCACATGGTAGTAGTACTCATTGGGGGCTGGTGGTGGGGGGTGGTGGTAAACCCACAACTAATGGAAGCAGAATGCACTGTATGGGGGAAGGACAGTCTTGTAGCCCTGGCTTGAGCAGTGCAAATGCATTACATGTAGCCAAAATATTTGTACCACCAAAATATCCTGAATAAATTATCCCCCCACCAAAATAATGCCGAAATGATGGACTATCACTTCTAAAATTAGGTTATATTAATTAATATATTAGGTTATATTAATAAAATGACTGTGGCCTCTATTGCATTCTCTCTCTTACATATTTTTTTTGGTGAGTTTATGATTCTTTTGCAGTAAAAATATAACTAAAATTAGAATAAAAAGTTCAGCAAAAGTATTTAAAAATTCAGTAACTCTTAGTTTTACCACAGGTAAATTTGATTTGATGATAGAAAAATCTATCATGTACCACATTAATGGATTCAGAGGAAAAATTCATATAACCATTTCAATGATGTAGTAAAATAATTTGATAAAATTCAAGGTCTGTTTATTTTTTTAAAACTAGCAATAGAAATAAAATTCTTCCCTCTAAGTGATATATAAAGAAATGCAGTAAGAATAATTTTTAAAAGAGAATATTGGAAACATTCTCTTAAAGTCAAGAATAAGAAAAAGATTCCATTATTATTGTTTCTATTTAGTACTATACTGGAGATTCTAGCTAGTACAATAAACCAAGGGAAAGAAATTAAAAGCATAAGACTGTAGAGAAAGAAACTTAATTGCCTTTATTTCAGATATAAGTTTTTACTTGAAAATATATATTAGATATAATAGGAAATGATGGCAATTGGGCTGGCTAGAATTTCAATATATAATAACAATAACAATTGCTTTTCTCTTTTTTAGTAACATTTAGTGAATATAATTTGAAACAAATATAATAGCAACAAAATTATTATTAATATCAAAAATTAATCTAACAAAAATAAGTAAGATCTGTATTTAAGGGATTATATAACTTTATTATATAACATTATTGAAATATGATAAAGAATAGATAAGTGAAGCTTATATAGCAAATTCAGTAATAAAAAGCATCCATATTATAAAGACTGTCATTCCTCCCTTAGTAGACTATAAATCCAGTACCAATCAAAATTCCAATAGTCACATCAGGGGGGGAGTGAGGCACGGCTTAAGCCGCTGCCAGCAGGCAGTGGCACTAGCCTCTAACCGGCGCTGAGAAACACCCCTTCCTACACCGAGCTCCACTCCCACGTAGGCCGGGAGGTGCCTGAAGTTGGTGAGAAGTGGCAGCGCGGGATTAAGCTGTGTGGAGAAGAGACTAGAGTAGGGAACGCGCTGAGTTCGCCAGAGCACACAACGGCTACGGCGGTTTAAGGTGGGGGAGGGTCCGCGCGCAGCAACCGCTCTCCGCACATCAGGAACCAGAGCCCTGCAGTACACTCCCAAGTCAAGGGTAAGGGGAGTTTACACAGCAGGAGGCTTTGACTTTGGATTTGGAGGAGGTTTGGGATAGCACTTAGAGGTCAGAGTGCGCAAAGTTAGACTCCTTGATCCATTAGGACCCCCCTCCCTCTGCCCCTCCGGCACCGCTCCACCCCTGCATTCCAGCGCTGACTCGGCATTCCAGCGCTGACCTGCGCTCGGGGTTTGGAGAGGCTGCGCAGAGAAAGCGCTGGTACGCGCCGCTGCTCCACCAATTTGATATTGGACCGTCACTTGCTGCACAAGCGGCACTGACTCTGTGCTCAGAGAGTGGACCCTGCCTGGACGGGGCAGAGCTACAGGGGAGATTGATTGCCCTTGGCAGATTTAAGGCAGAGAAAGGTTGCCTTCCACACTCTCCTGCGACCCGGAGCCCCGCCCTGGGCTCCAAAGTCTCTGTCCCAGCCTTGGGGGCGGAGCTGAGATAGAAACTGTTCTCATTCCTGCCACTTATCTCCATCTGGGTAATTCAAGAGACAAAAGGCAGGGATAGGTGGGTCCCATTGACTGCCTGCCAGCTTTTGGTCAATCTCACCCTGCACAGGTCTCCCGCGCGCTGTGCCCAGAGTGTGGAGCGCTGGGCCTTGCAGGAGGCAGCCGTCAGTGGTTATAAGGCAGAGATATTTTACAGACCCCCACATCTGGGGATTTGGGGCTAGGCCTTTGGCTCCAAAGTTTGTATCCCTGCCTTGGGGGGCGGAGCCGAGATAGAAACTGCTCCCATTCCTGCCGCTTATCTCCACCTCTGGAATTAAAGAGACAGAACAAGGGGCCTGGTGGGTCTGGCTTCAGGACAATCTCTCACTGCACAGGTCTCCTGCGCTCTGTGTCCAGAGTACAGAACTGGCCTGGCAGGAGACACCCACGAAGGAAGTTACCCTTAGCTGCTATAAGGCAGAGCGTCTTTACGTCTACCACCGTCCTGTTTCTTGTGGCTGAGCCTTGGCTCCAAAGTTTCTGTCCCCGCCTTGGGGGCAAAGCTGAGATAGGAACTGTTCCCATTCCTACCGCTTATCTCCACCTGTGCAATTAAAGAGACAGAAGACGGGGTTCCCTGGGTTTGGCTACAGGCCTGCCGGCTTCAGGCCAATCTCTGTCTGCACAGGTCTTCTGTGCTCGGTGTCCAGGCCCTGGAGTTTGCCTGGGCAGAGCCGAGCCTTGTAGGAAGCAGCCTTCGGCGAATACAAGACAGAGAGACGTTACAACCCACACACTCTGGTGACTTGGAGCTGGGCCTTCGGTCCCAAAGTCTCTAGCCCCGCCTTGGGGGTGGAGCTGAGAGAGGAACTGCTCCGGTTCCTGCCATCTATTCCCACCTGTGTAATTAAGGAGACCAGCAGAAGGGGTAGGTATTAGCTGTTTCCCTCCTCTACATCTCGGACGCTGCT